GTGGGTCTCTGAGCACTATTCCAGCACTCCTGGGGCCTTAGATGGAAAAACCAAGGAGGAGACACAGTGATAGGGCACATAGACCAAGAGGCAGAGAACGGTAAGAACCTAACATTTCTTGTATTCCTAGTATATGCCAGCCACGGTATACTAGCTTCTCTCAACAAACCTGTGAGGTATTTTACTATTGTTTTTTGTTTTGTTTTGCATTTTTTTGACACATTCTTGCTATGTAGTCCAGGGTAGCCAAGCTGGTCTTAAACTCAAGACCCCATTGTATCAGCCTCCCAAAGTGCCAGGATCACAAGCATGTGCCACTATGCCTCTATGACCTTTAAAAAGCCCAGAAAGACTTTTATGGTTCAAGATATTTTGTATTCACAGAAGCTTACCAAAGCTTACACAGCTTTTTTAAACAACCACAGCCAGATGTAGTGGTTCATGCATGCAATCCTAGCATGGGAGGCTGAAGCAGGAGGATCTCAAGTTCAAGCCCAGACTAGGCACTTCATGACTTAGCAAGACCCTGTCACAGGGGCTGGGGATTTAGCTCAGCGGCATAAGCGCCTGCCTTACAAGCAGGCAGTCATGACTTTGATCCCTGGTACCGATAAAAAACGAAAAAGATAAAAAAAAAAAAAAAAAAGACCCTGTCACAAAAATAAAATTTAAAAAGGGCTGGCAATGTAACTCCAGTGCAAAGTTCTTGGGTTTGATTTGCAGTAAAAAAAAAATAAAATAAAATAAAAGCACATTTGTGTATACAGTAGATATATACGTTCTTTCCTCTCCCTTTACAACTGATAGATCACTGAATCTAGTCAATTCTAGTCCTAAGTTTCTCCTGAATCTCTCTCCTCATTTGTATAACTTATGTCACTTTGTCACTGTATTTGAATGTTTGTTTTCTTTCAAAATTCGTATATTGCAGCACTAACCCACAGCATGAACAAAATGAGGGCTCTAAAGAAGTTATTAAGGTTAGATGAGGTCACCAACGTGAGATCTTGATGCAATAGGATTACAAAGAGAGACGGATGCCACAGAATTTGCCCTCTCACTTTCTTCTATGCCCACCCATGGGGAAAGCCCGTGTGAGTACACAGGGAGGCCACAGCCACTTGCAACCCTGCTGGCACCCTAATCTTGGACCTCTTGCCTCTAGAACCATGAGAAAACAATTCCTGTTGTTTAAAACCACCCAGTTTTGTACTCTGTTGTGGGAACCCGAGCAGATTAATATATGCTTAAGCATATATTATTATTATTAGCTTATTAATAGTTTGGACCCTTATAATGTTCCCAAACTACATGCATCTTGTTTGCTGGCTTGTTTTCTTGCTTTTCTTCCTTTCTTTTATAGCCAATTAATATGTTAGTTATTTTAAATAGCTGTATGAGGTATAAGTGATATTCAAAAATACACATATTTATTACGTGCAATTTGAGAAATTTAGAACCAAATCATGATTCTTTGCTCCATTTCTTCATCTTTTACCTGAAGCCATGGATTTTTTAATAAAATGCAAATGTAACTTTGTTAAAACATTTATGCCTCTCCAGTGCCTATAATAGAGGTCTCTTAATTTATGTCCTTTTTAAATAAGAAAAATTTAGGTACATGCACAGTAGGTGACAAAACACAATAGCATTAAAATATATAAAAATGAGGGGCTGGGGATTTAGCTCAGCGGCATAAGCACCTGCCTTACAAGCAGGTAGTCGTGAGTTCGATCCCCGGTACCGATAAAAAAGAAAAAGACAAATATATACATATATATATATGAAAAACATTAAAAAGTTTAAATTTTAATGTGTCTATTTTGGGGGGGTTAGATTTTTGTTTACTTTTTGCTTTTTTGTCTTTTTGAGACAGAGTCTCACACTATACAGGCTGACCTTGAGCTCACTTTGTAGCCCAAACCCATCTCAAACTCACAACAATCCCTCTGCCTCTGCCTCCCAAATACTGAGATTACAGGGGTGAGCCATCTATGAACAGGACATAAAACTATTCATTTTGCCACAAATCCTTTGATTTTGTTTGTTTTTGAGATAAAGTCTTACTTTGTAGCCTCAGCTGGTGTGGCCTTGAACTCACCATGTAGACCAGGCTAGCCTTGAACTCCTGCTCCGAGCTCATGCTCTTAAGTACTGGGATTACAGGTGTGCCCCACCACATCTGGCTTGATGGTTTTGTTTTTCTTTTTAAAACAAAACAATGTGATTGACTAAGTGAGATCTAATTTGATCTTCATTGATTTTACCTCAACATGCAGCTGCCAATGAAGCTGGGCCAGGAGTTGGAAAAACATCAGCACAACCATTTTGTTAGGCTCACTTTTACTGTACTATACTTAGCACAGTCTTCAACCAGAGGTTTCTTTACATGATTCTCTAAAAGCCATGTATCCACTGTGAGGTTTCATTTAGTTAAAACGTAATGGTATCATCAATAAATCCACTTAACAAGGCATAGTAAAACTGCAAAGTTTCAGAATAAGCTGAAAATGAACAAAGAAGAAATGGAACCACCATTGCCAACCCTAGAGAATGCTTTTTGAGAGTAGGATACGTGACCACATAATAAAGCAACCAAATGAAGACATCTGTCTCAATCCACATAGTAAATAGTTGTAAAAGCTATTTTATATTCATATGTGAAAAATGCGATCTAATAATTTCAGCAACTCCCTAAGGAGTCCTAAGACATGTGCCCTCTGGCACTGGCAAGAAACTTCTGTTACTTTAAAGTCTCTCTGACCCCCAGCTGGCCACTTGTACCCTCTCAGCACATTTCCCTCTCTGTATCCTCTCCCTGCTCTTTCACAGCCTTGATCTCGTTTTCCTGTGTTGCTCACCATGCCCTACATCCCCTGAGCTCTCACACCTCTCTGTGCGGAGTAGTTCTTAACTAACAGTTGTTGTTGGGCGTGGAGGTCAGTGGTAGAGCACTTGTCCAGCATGTGTGAGGCCCTGGTTTGAACCTCTATACTGCAAAACCCAACTACAATAAATGTGTATCAACTCTGACCACAAGGTAAACTAGATCAGTGGTTCTCCAAAGCCTTGTAACCACCTAGAAGACTTCTACCATAAAGCGTTCAGCCTCAGCCCAGGATTTTGGGTTGAAGAGGCCTGAAGTGGGACTTAAGAACTTGCATTTCTAACAAATCCCCAAGTGTTGCTGATGATATAAATTAGTCTAAAGAAAATACTTTGAGAAACAATGAGCTAGATGAACCTTGATAGTTTCTCCCATATTTAATGATTTATAAATTCTTGGTACTTTTTTTTTTTTGAGATAAGGTATTGCTATGTAGTTCAGGCTGGCCTGGACACTGGACTCACTATGTAGTCCAGGCTGATCTTGAATCCATGGCAATCCACCTGCCTCTGTCTCATGAGTGCTGGGATTACAGGTATGTGCCACCACATCTAGCAGTACATTGGCACCTTTAATAGTGAGTAAACAACTACTTAAAATATCATAAATGGAAATATGGGCTCTGTAACACTCAGATGCACTCAGAGAAAACACATAATTTGGAATCAAAAGATGCGCGTTCAAATTTTACTCAACAGCTGTGTGATTAACTTAAGGCAAATTAATTTCTGAGTTTTTTGCTCTATAGTAAAAGAGTTCTACTTTATGGTGTTAATTGTAAGATAATATCAATGCACAGGAAATAATTAATAAAAAGTACTGTATACAAATACCCCAATAAGAAATATATACAATATTTTAATGTACATTTATAAGTATAATAGACACTAAAAAATACTTTTTGTGTGTGTGGTACAGGAGGTTGAATCTAGAATCTTTGGACTAAGCTGCCTCTCTGCCTCTTGCTTTTACTTTTTATTCTGAGACAAGGTTTTTACTAAGTCACTACATTGCCCAGGCTGGCTTGAACTTGTGATCCTCTGGGAGCCTTAGCCTCCTAGAGTGCTAGGATTACAGGCATAGCTACCACTCCAAGTTAAAATAATCCTTTTTTTTTTTTTTGGTCTCTTTGAGACAGGGTCTCACCGTGCAGTTCAGACTGACTGTGAGCTCACTTTGTAACCCAGGCTGGTTTCGAACTTACAATCCTCCTGCCCCAGCCTCCTGAGTGCTAGGATTACAGATGTACAGCACCACGCCCTGCTACATTTTTTAATACTTTTACAAATTTTCAAAATTTCCAATCCCAGTACTAATTTATTTATAAATATATGACCTACATATTTCTGTATAATCTAAAATATGTACATGTAAACTAGTTGTGGCAGTGTATGCTTGTAATTCCAGCACTCTGGGAGACTGGCGGTAAGAGGACTACAAATTCAATCCCAGCCTGAATGATGCAGTAATGTAGCAAAACCTTATCTCTAAATAAGACTTGGAATTAGATCCTCCAGTCCCAGTCAACTCTGTATCTGGTTATACTTCATGAGAGGCTCCAAGTCACTCCCAAATGTTAGAACCACCCACCCACACACACACCACCACAAAACTGGGAAATAATAAGCTATTATTTTACAACACCAAGTATTTAAGTAACCTGTTATACAATAATCAGTAATTGATATAGCAGCTAACATTTATTGTGTTCTTCCTATGTTCCAGGAATAACACTAAGCACCCAAATGATGTAGATATGATTATAATCTCTTAAGAAAAAGGATGATTCAGAGAGTTTCCTAGTCAAGTTTCCATGGCTAGGAAAGAGTAGAGGTAGAATATGAATTGAAGACTCTTAACTCCAAAGCCCAGTTACTTGGTCGCTCATTTACACAAGCCATGATAGAGTTTTTTGGACAGCTAAGCAGCAGAGACACCTAAAACCTTCCCCCTTCAGGAAGGCCAACCTAAGTAAAAACAGCATGGGGAAGCCGAGGGGCCAAATCTGTAATTGCATACACACCTGATTCTATCCAACCTGGAAGTTCTGATCAGCTTTTGAATTCACCGATTTTCCCTCTGGACAGTCCTGCCCAAGAGGCCCAGAACTCACCCAGATCTGCAGCTTCACTCGTTTCTCATGACGATAGACCGTCTTCACTTTGAAGTCAATGCCCACAGTGCTGACAAAGGCCGGGATGAAAGTGTCATCAGCATAGCGGAAGAGGAAGGACGTTTTGCCAACGCTGCTGTTACCGATGATAAGCAGTTTGAACATATAGTCAAAATTCTGGTCAGAGGCATCTTTGACTCCAGTTTTACTATCAGTCACTGAAGCCATCTGCAAGAAAGACCTGCGGTCACTCAGGAACACTCCTCTAATGTGCCTTTGAGTCCCCACCCTGCTAGTGTCACTCAGTCCAGCATCACAGAGGAAGTACACACTACTTGGGAACACTTCATGACTGCACCTGCCTCAAATGTTATCTCGGGATTGGGGTGGAACCCAGCTCCTCCCATTCATTCCTTCAGCAAATATTGACTGAGCACATTGGTCTGGGGTGAGCCCTATGCTGGGCAGGGGGAATACAAACATGAATCAGACACGATGTCCGGCCTCTGGGTGGCCACAAGCTGGATTGAAAGAATAGTGAAACACAAGTTACAAAGCAGTAGGTCAGTGATAAAACAGGGAAGCCACAGCTGAAACAGTCCACAAGAAGCTTCTAATCTAGTCTAAGAACATGGTAACCAAGAAAAAATCTACTGTAGGAGATAGGGCTCACTGTGGAGCTAGCATCTTATTTTCTTTTCTTTCTTTCTTTTTTTTTTTTTTTTATCAGTACGAGGATCGAACTCAGACTGCCTGCTTGCATGGCAGGTGCTTATGCCGCTGAGCTAAATCCCCAGCCCCTCAATCTCTATTTTCAAACTTTCATAGCTCCCCATAGCTATAAATAGTTAAACCCAAGTTTCCAGCTTAACAAGTAAGTGACCAAAGAATCAACTCTCATGAGTCTTTCTTCCCAGTCCTTCTATCAATCTGTATATCAAAGTATACTTTACTTTGAATATGCCACAGTATTCTTTTCTTTTGTCCTTTTACATATATATTCCTTCTGCCTAGAATGCTCTTTTATCTATAACAAACCCCTATTCAGTGGCAGGGGATTTAGCTCAATGGCATCAGCGCCTGCCTGGCTAAACGCTAGATTGTGAGTTTGATCCCTGGCACCAAAATAAATAAACAAACCCCTATTCATCCTTGTAAATCCAGGCCAACCATCATCTTCCTGGTGCACAGCGAAAGCATGTACTCCTGCTCCTGTAGCCCAAGAATAATTTAATGGCATTTGTGTCATCGCCAAACCATTTACCATTTCTGACTCCTGTTTTAGACTGAGCGTCTATTCAGCATGTATTCCACTGCAGCATGCCTGATGTTTAGTAGAAATCCTACTTCACAAATGCACTCAGTAAATGTGGACTACTGATTTAATAAAAATCACTTCATCATTCCAGGGCCCCAATGGCCCCTTCTAGTACAGGACTTGGATGAGACAGCAATGACTAAAGTCTTTGTAAACCAGTAAATTCACAGAGGTGTAAACTTAAGTCCATATAGTTCCATCCTTCAAAGTCGTTAATGTGTTATTTGCTGATTAGTTAATTAAGCAAATACTCATGATGTGCCAAGGCTACCACCGTTCTCTTTCCCTAGAATCATTTGAAAGTGAACCTCATAATCTGTCACTTGGTCCTATGACCTGATTTGAGACTTTAACTGTATACCGCAGAAGCCACAGGTACCATGCTTCTCCATCTTAAGTCTCTCCTCTTGCTCAATGCTAGATACTCAAATGGGCAGTGTAAGAAAGTGGTTAGAGGAGGATGGGAGGTCAGTCTTAACGTGAACTAATATTCAAGCTGTTACTCTCGATGCTGGGACTGGGAGGATCCATCAAGAAGCCTACTAGCCAGCCTTTCTGGTAAGCCTTGCAAGCCATCAGCGCCTCCTTTGAGCCTACCAGTGCACAGCCTGAGAATCAACCTCTACCCATAAGGAACCCGCTGGTTTTGTAGACAGGACCAGTTGATAGCAACTAAGATAGGTAAAGCAACTAAATGCATGTATTGTCTGGTTAATTTGCAGGTTTGGGGCCAGCAGTCTGAGCAATCTCTTGGGAGGATGACAGTATGCAATATGGCAAATATACGAATTTCCTTCTATCTTGTCTTTGAAATCCAATATTCTCATTGTTTTGGTTTGTTATGATTGTTTTGCTTTATTCTGTTGGGTTTTTGGTTTGATTGTGCTATACCTGATGGAATGGACAACTACAATGAAGATAACAAGATACACTATGGTAGCTACTGCTGTTTTCCTAGTATCCTACTTTGTAGCTCTGTTGGGTGCTTTGTTTTGATTGCCTTTGTTCTGTTTTGTTCTGTTGGATTTTATTATCTTTAAAATTACTCTCTTTGGGAATCCCTAGTTTTTCTATCCGAAGGAAAAAAAGGGAATGAGACTGGTGAATTAGCTATCTAAACCTCTCAGATGCACTGTAAGGACAAGAAACCAGTGAGAATAGAAGGTTTAAAGCCCTCTTGAAGAAACATCAGACAAATAATTAGGATTAATAGCAATCCTTTAATTTGAATTTGTCACTATTAGCCTTGTGTGGCCTCTGTTCTTCCTGTTCTCTGCTCCCAGCTCTCAAACCTTTATCTGAAACCCTCAATTTCATCTTGTATCAATCTGCTCATGACATGGCACACTTGGCTGGTATAGAACATGCTCGAGACTCTCAGTGACACAGGCAAAGTACTTACATGGAGAAAGTGAAGATGGCTTAGCAGGTAATACTGGATGCTAAAACTGTCTCCCAGCTTTCACTTGTCAGCTTATCATGGTAAACAATGCAAAGCCTGTTTCAAGAATTGACAATTGGCTGAGTGCGGTGACACACCTACAAACCCAGCACCTTGAAAGGCTGATGAAGTAGGAGGATCACAAGTTTGAGCCCAGCCTGGGCAACATAGTGAAAGAGAAAATACAGAAGAGCAGGAATGTAGTTCAGTACAGAGCCCCAATGTTTAATCCCTAGTAACACACACACACACACACACACACACACACACACACACACACCAAGGCAATTTAAAAGAATTATGTATTTTTTAAAATCTAAAACAAGGGAAGCCACTACAGTGACTTTACACCATCCCCATTCTGATGCCAGTCATAGTTTCATGTTCACAGACCATTTTCACTATGAAAGTATATACTCAGTATAAAAGCTCTGAAATTTATACAAAAATGTAAAAAAGAACACTTAAAATTACTTGACATTTCACCCATTCAGAAAGACTACTGTTAATATTTTAGTGTATTTCCTCTAATATATTTTCTGGTTTTAAATTATGTATTATCGAGCCATGTATGGTGGCTCACAAGCATGGCCTGTAATCCCAGCACTTAGGAGGCTGAGGCAGAAGTATCATTTCGAGTTCAAGACCAGCCTGGACCACAAAGTGAGCTCAAAGCTAGCCTGAATTACACAGTGAGATCCTGTCTCAAAAAGACAAAAAAAATATATTTTTTCTTTTATTTGTTCTTTTAAGAGGTAATATACACTTACTAAAAACAATTCATCAAATATTTACTAATTGTATTGACTTTTCACTGTATGTAATGTGCATTATTTTCTTACTTTTTAGCCAAAAGAAAGTGATACGGAAATTAAAGTCTATAGTGAAAAATAAATCTTTGTTCTCAATATCTAGTTTCCCACCCTAGAGACAAATGTTACTAACTTATGTAGCCTTTAGAGGTAATCTTTGCATATACAAGCATAGGAGTCTACTCACACCTTTACTTATATATAAATGACTCAACACCATACAGGCTAGTCTGCACTTTTAAAGCATATTTTAATAGCTGACATATGCACAGAAGGTGTAGACTATTAGAATGTATGCTATGTTATCATGTGGCAAAAGTACTTAAATATTGAGACTTTAAAAATTCTTCATAAGTATCATTTCAGTAATATCTATATACTATTCCATCCTCTAAATAGGTTGGATGACCAATCTTTTGATCAACCTTTAGGAAGAGAGTTATTTTTAATTAAAAGCAGTTTTTTGTTTTTGTTTTTAAGACAAAATGTATTTCAGAATGCCCTTGAACTTACTACATAGTCCAGGCTAGCCTCAAACTCACAGCAATCCTCCTGTCTCAGCCTCCCTAGTGCTATGATTATAGATCACCACCACGCCCAGCCTCAAAGCAGTTTTTAAATTGTTTTCTATTCATAATTATTACAAATTAAACTGCAGTGAACATTTCTTTACATGAATCTTTGTGTGCTTTCTTAATTATCTCTTTGAGAGAGATTCCAGAAGTAGAATTTCTGGTCAAAGAGAACTTTCACCCAAATTTGATTCTCATCTCAATTTCGTGTAAATACTTTATATCTTATTTTACTATCTAAATAAACCTGGGAAATAAAGTTGGAAGGGCAGGGTTTATTAATCCCATATGAATTAAGAACATTTGCCCAAACCTCATAGCTAACCATCAGACTAGATTTAGTATCCTGCACAGTTACGGGAAAGTTTAAAATTGTTGCTCTAAACTAGGTGAGATAGCCTGATACAGTGGTACACACTCATAATTCCAATAGGAGGACTGCTGTGAGTTCAAGGCCAACCTGGGCTATATAGTGACTTCAAGGTCAGCCTGAACCACATGGCAAGACCTCATCTCAAAAACCTAAAGATAGATAGATAATAGATAGATAGATGGGCAGATAGATAGATTAGATAGGCTGGATAAAGTGACATACGCCGGGGCTGGGGATTTAGCTCAGCGGCATAAGCGCCTGCCTTGAAAGCAGGCAGTCGTGAGTTCAATCCCTGGTACCGATAAAAAGGAAAAAGACAAAAAAAAAAAAAAAGTGACATACGCCTATAATCTTAGCTACTCAGGAGACAGACAATAATCCTAGTGCTTGGGAGGTTGAGGCAGGAGGATTGCCTTAAATTCAAGGCCATCCTGGACAATATAGTTCAAGCCCAGCCTGAATTACACCAAGACCCCATTCAACAAAATACATACATACATACATACATACATACATGCCAATCAGGGGATGGGGATGTAGCTCAGTAGTATGGCACTTGCCTGCATGGTTGAGGTCCTGGGTTCAATCCCCAGGACCAATAAATAAATAAATTCATTGTTGCTTTATCCATCACTAGTGTATTTGAGCAAGTCAGATCAACTGTCTAAGCCACAGCATCATTACCTTAAAGAGAATACTGCCTACTTAGTGGAGCTTTAGTACAAACAGAATAAGGAGCACTACATAAAACGTTCTTTGTTGGCCCACAGAAGGTACTTGATATTATTATTTTGCTGGTCCACTTAATTCACTGCTGCAGTCAGATCTTGCTCAGCTGTCCTTCCCTTCACCCTAGGACTATTTGGTGCTGATACAATGAACATTAGTATCTTCCTGCCTCTTTGTATTCAGGAGTTTTTTTTTCACCCTTCACTAGTCAACATTAGACTGACAGTAAATCTTTATCAGATCTTACTTCTTTCAACAAACATTTATTAAGCAAATGCCAAACTACTATTGCAAATGTTGTAGTACTGGTTTTCATTTTTTTCAATGCAGTCAGCTCTTACATTGCTAGAAGTAGAAAAATCTTACAGTTGCAGCTTTCTCATAATAAACCATATCACAGCTAGTCCCAGTTTTCATGTATGAAGTCAGGCAGACCACTAATATTCTCTGACTCAGTGTCCTCATTTGATAATAATACGATTTCACAAGGCTGCTGTGATTTTTTTTTGTGTGTGTGTGTGTCTTTTTTTTTTTCGTTTTTATAGGTACCAGGGATCGAACTCACGACTGCCTGCTTGCAAGGCAGGCGCTTATGCTAGTGAGCTAAATCCCCAGCCCCGGCTGCTGTGATTTTTAAATGACTGAATAAAAGTATGCCTCATACACTGTATTGAAAACAGTACAGGGGCTGGGGATTTAGCTCAGCAGCATAAGCGCCTGCCTTGCAAGCAGGCAGTCGTGAGTTTGATCCCTGGTACCGATAAAAGACGAAAAAGACAAAAAAAGAAAAAAGTACATGTGGCCTCGTGTAGAATCAGTGTTAGACTTACTTACCTTTATTAGCTATTCCTACCACAGGTGTGAGTGGGGAGGGATGGCAAAAGTACAAGATAATATTAATCCCCAGTCCAATCTGCCTGTTCCATTTCACCTGACATTTTACAGGTAAAACATAGGGGCTTTGTGATTTGTCTAACATCACACAGTAAGTAGTTCATAATCAGAATTCTACTGCCTAATATGCCCCAGATTTGACCAGGTAGTCAGAAAATAAAAACCATAGCAATTTTATCACGAGTAAAGCACTTATAACACTGCACAGCTTAGTTACCATACAGTACTTGCCATACTGTATCACCAACATCTGCTTCGGTTCACGGAATACCGCTCTCCCAGTAGGTGGTATGAGAACACAGAAAGAGAGACAGTAGAAGGATTGAGATGGCAGCCCCCAAGGGAGTCTTCTCAGGAGGAGGGCAAGGGCACAAAGACATCTGGAACACAGGCAAAAAGCATCCCAGCAGGCAACCGCCTGAGGCGGATCTGAGCAGACAGGTCACTGCACAGTGGTGCAAACAGAACTGCATTTGTAGGATAAGCATCAATCAAATCATCCCTCTCGTTTGTGACAGTAACATAAAATGATATGGCTGGGTGGCTCACTGTCTCTGTGATGAGCAATACAGATGAAGGCTAGTAACCATTTGGGAAGTCATCTCTGGTCCCAGGCTGGGAGAAGAAAGAAATGGCTCCTCTGAAAAATAACTCTTTCAACCTCCCAGAAGGCAGAAATAAACACCTAAGGAAAACTCAACTTCAGCCTGGAAAGAGGGGAGGTTCAGAGGAGAAAAGAGCCACAAAACCCACCAAACACAGATCACCACTTACTAAATGTAATTAAAGGACCAGATATGCTGGTACAGTCAAAAGACTAAGCATGAGATTGAGTGTAAGAAACCTAGTTGAACCATGGGTCTCTCAGTAGTTGTGTAATCTTAAGACAATCACACTCTGTGGGTCTGAGTTTCCTAATTTACAAAATAAATCAATAAACCGCGCATGGTGGAGCACACCTGTAATCCCAGCAATCGAGAGGCTGAGGCAGAGGATCAGCACAAATTGGAGGCCAGCCTGAGCTACATGGTGAGTTTAAAACCAGCCTGAACTACGTGGTCACACTCTGTCTCAAAAAACATTTTTTAATTTAAAAAATAAATCAATAAAATGGTTTCCTAATAAAATCAGTACATAAAAGAATATTTTACAAATTTCTTAGAAAAAAAATTTTTCCCCTGCACTTCATGTTTTCTTCTAGCAAGTCATTCCAAGCAATGGAAAAATAGTTGTGGAGTTCCAAATCAAACTGAATGAAGATTCCATTTCCAGCTTTATCATTTATTAGCTGTAAAGCCTGGACAAAAAATTTCACATGCAGACCCAGTTCCCTCCTTTAAAAACAAGAATTGTTGGGATGGTTATAAGTAATGTGAGTAAGTAATGCATTTAGCATGGTATAAGGAGCATAGCAAGTGTTCAATGATAAGCGTAATTCCAGATCTTTCCTTTTAGGAAACATTTTTTAATGAGGATGAATCAGGAGTTGGGACCTGGGCAAATGTAGACCTCACCCTGCTATTCCCTTTCTTCTCCAAAATCATATTTTACTAAACTTTTAAATTTAGTCTTGGGCCAGGGATTTAGCCCAGCAGCGTAAGTGCCTGCCTGGCAAGAGCAAGGTCATGAGTTGCATCCCTGGTACCACCCAAAAATAAATAAATTTAGTCTTTCTGCTGGGCATGGTGGTGTACACCTGTAATTCCAACACTTGGGAGGCTGAGATAAGGGGACTACCACAAGTTCAAGGCCACCCTGAACCACACCGTGAGATCCTATCTCAAAAAAACAAAATTAGTTAATTAAATTAAATAAATTTAGTCTTTCTTTAGACCATTCTCTATTTCTAACCCAACACCACCAGCCCAGCCTAGATCATCATCATTTCCGCAGGTCTCTCAGCATCACAGAAATAGTATCCCAACAGGTACCATTCAATGAGCACCTAAGAAGTGCCAAGCACTCTACTAGTTGCTTGGAGGCATTCTAGCTTGCACACAAAACCTAGGTGCTTGACAAATGTTCTTTCCTTTCTTCTCCAGATTGAAAAGAGATAGGCATGGGCATGACTGCTGATAGAGTGGAGGCACATCACCTAAGAATATCAGCTTTTGTACCATGTTTTACAGTTTACAAAGATCTCTTCACTTACATAATCCTATTTGATCCTCACAGTTTTGGGATAGATGGAAGAAACTGAGGCAGGAGGATAAACATTACTCAGTTATTCATTCAGTCAACATGTGAAGCACCTACTTCAGAGTATGTGCCCGTTCTATATGGAAGTTTGGGGAGATGGAGAGGAAACCTGATGAGTGTAAAATTTCTCAGTTAGGGGCTGGGGATTTAGCTCAGTGGCGTAAGCGCCCGCCTTACAAGCAGGCAGTTGAGAGTTCGATCCCTGGTACCGATAAAAACCAAAAAGACCAAAAAATAATAATAATAATAAAAATTAAAAAAAATAAAATTTCTCAGTTAGTCATATCTCCCTCTGAAGATCATTTTAGACTTTTGTTCATTCCCACACTGTATGTCCCCCATAGGACACACTTTCCTCCACTGTTAGCTAAATCCTTCATGACCAAGAGGGTTCCTTAATCCATCTGTCTTCCCAAAAGGCCTCTCTTTGGGCTGCCACTATACTAAGACCAAGAACAGGGTCTTTGTTGACCTCTATCGTCTTCCTCTATTGTAGGTACAGAACAGGTGTGCGTCCCCCTTTGTGCATACGTGTACACATACATACACTCTTTTTGCTTTCCACCCCTTCCCATCCGAATTCTGGGAAGCTGGGACGGAGAAGCCCATCCTCCTCCACAATTCTGTTAGCTTGCAGAGGCTGCCACACTGCCTTCCCCAAATTCCTTCCCGTGCCTTGACTCCACAACAGACTAGCCTGTGGGCGGATTTTGCAGTCCACGACTCTCTTCTAGTCAGTGATCCCCCATGCAGTAACCTGGTCCAGTACCAGCTCCACCTCACTCTTCAGAGAGGGCAAGAAACAGCTAGCCTAAACCTCCACCCTGGCTCCCACTATCTTCCCCCTCCTCGCTCCAAAACTCACACCTGGCCTCCTCCCCAACCTGTGCTCCCACCCACCCCAAACTCTCCAAGTGCTCTCCAGCCACCAGACCCGCTCGCGTCCAGCACCTCCTCCCCACTCCCGCCCTGATCCAGGTCCACTGTGCTCTCCCTCCAACTGCTCCTGCCACCTCCTAGGCAGTCGGGGTGGATGAAGAGGGCTTCCCACTTTCCCATTCTTTCCCGCCCGCAAGGCCCACCCCACGCTCACAAGTCTTGCAGCGGCCACACCCCCTCCACTCCACACCACCTCCTGGGCGCCTCGCCCCTCGGCCGCTCGGGGCCCCTCGGCCTTCACTCTCACGCCGTCTCCAGCCCTGGCTCCCCCACCCTCGAGCCTCCCTCTGCAGCCCCCGCGCGGACCCCGGCCGCCCGGCCCCTCCTCGCAGCCTCCCTGCAGCCCCACACCGCCCTCCAGTTGCCGCCCATCTTTTCCACCAGCTTGCCGAACGCTTTCTCGCGCGCCCCCCTAATGCCCCGCGGCCCGGGAGACCTGCCTCGGGCTGGTGCCCAGCTCTGCGCCGCGCGCCCTCCTCGCGCTGCCCAGCGCAGCTCACGAGCCCTCAGCTGTCTACGCCGGGCCGCGCTCCTCACCTCGGACTGCGGCTGGGCGCGCGGCGAGGTTCGGGACCCGGCGGAGTGCGCAGGGCGGGTCGCAGCGGAGCTGCTCTGGTCCGCACCTCAGCTACCCAACGCCGAGGCTAGTTCTGCAGCTGCGTTCAGCTCCCGCTGCGGCCGGGCCCCGCCCAGGGGCGGAGTCCGCGTTGGACCCGCCCCCGCCGCCTTCCTCCTGGCAGGTATGATAGACCCCCGGGGCGGGGCGACTATCAGGACTTAACTTTGGGGAGATTAGGTGTTTGGGGGTTTGTTTGTTTCTTTCGTTTTTTGTTTGTTTTAAAACAAAGTCTTGCTAATGTAGTTCACGCTGGCCTCAAACTCGCAGCAATCCTTGTGCCTCAGCTTCCAGAATGCTGCAGTTACAGGAGTGCACCACCACGCCTGGTCAATGATTTAACCTGAATTCTTTCTGCTGGTTTTGTTATTTTTGCAATAATGAGGATTGAATCCTGGTCCTCGAGCATGTTAGGTAAGTACTCTACGACTGAGCTACACTTGCAGTATGATTTACCTTACTTCTTGTTCCATGGAATAAACTTATAAAAGAGAGCTTTAAGGATAATGCCGATGTTAGGTACTAAGCTTCACTAATTCCAAATCTTTCTTTTGGTTACACCACTCCATCCTCAGAAAAGCTCAGAAAGAGAAGCAGAATCTGGGTGTCTGACTACCAATGGAAAGTAAGCCAGGGAACGAGGCTCTGTCTTCTCCACATGCGATCCTGTAGACCTCACGTTCTATTGGACTGGTAATAATAACATAGACTCGGACTGGGGATTTAGCTCAGTGGCATAAGTGCCTGCCTGGCAAGTGTGAGATCATGAGTTTGATCCCTGGTACCACACACAAAAAAAATCATTGATAATAACATAGACTAGTCTTGTGCCTACCCTTGTGTTGGTCTCCATTGCCCTTACCCTGAGCCAGGTCTTATTATTTTCAGCCTGGACTAATGCAACAGTGTCTTAATTCTTGCCTCCTCTCTCCATTCTCCCCTCTGCACCCATGAGCTGTTTTTAAGTGTCATCATCGACCTTGGGATCGAACTAACAACCTCATCCTTGCCAGGCAGGTGTTTGTGCTGCTGAGCTAAACCTCAACCTTGTTTTTAAAGAAACACACAACTCTCAGCGCTTCCCCATTACCAGCATGAAGGCTGCAGGCCAGAATGGAAAAACATTGTTTCCTGAGCATTACAAAGTCCTAGCTCTGTCCAGGGTGATTTTGATGAGTGGTAACTAGCATCCCACTTTCAAATCCTGATGGAGACTTCATTTCCAGTCTTCCAGAGATCACATGAGCCAGCTGATCTACAGTGACTGTAGGCCAGTTTTGGTCTACAGTTACTGTCTGTCCCTGAACTCTTCCCTCATCTCAAATCTACAAGTCATAGTAAGACAGGTGTTTCCTAGGAAACCACTCAGACTGACAACCCCTCTGCTTGTCTGGTCTACCCTTCAGCTACCTAATCGTTATACTGTTCACAAGGTTTGCCAGCCCTTTCATTCATATGTTCACCCCCCATTTTACTGCCAGTGCCCTTTAGAATCTTACTCCTTTGTCAACAGACTACTAACTCTCAATATCTTTCACATGTTCAAGCTACTTCTTTATCTTTGTAAAACCATCCCCTTTTCCAGTCCAGTGCCTCCCCTGTATCCTTTTGCAAGAGGGCTTCTCACTTTCCCTCCTCCCATACACCAAGTGGAAGGTGGAGCTCACCACCACTTCTCTTCTTGTACAAAAATTTCTCTCCTTTTTTTGCCAGCTGTACCACCTCTATCCTGCCTCCTGAAATGCTCCCTCACCCTCTTTCTGCCACAGGGGCCCAGTTTCTTCATTTCCAAAGGGTCACGATGGATAATGATTATCTGTTCTTTACAGGAACAATGAGATAACATATAAAGCCTTTCTTCTAAAGTTGTGAAATGATATGAGAACAGATGGTATGCTTTGTGGTAGCCTATGGTCTTCTGATTGCTTTCTTCTTTTCTCTCTCCAAAACACCATTTAGTAGAAGAAAAAGAGCCCACATTTGGGACCAGAAAAACTCAGTTTTCAATCTTGACCCCATCACTTATTTGCTGGGTACTCCTAGGTCAATAATCTTGGTTATATGACATACACCACTTCCTCACTTACAGGAAAAGCAATAATGAGAGCTGCTTCTCAGTTGTGAAAGGTAAATGAGAAAATGAGCTACTGAATAGAGTGCACTAAAGTGCTAGGCATACAGTAAGCACTTGATAAGTGTGAAACACTATAGTTATTATAATAGAAAAATGCTATTTTTAACCACAGCTGCCTTTTAGGAAGGATAGCTCTAAATATATAGATGGTCCTTTTGTCCTACTCAGGGTTTTGATGAGTACATATATGTAAGGATGTTTAAGTTTAGGAGGAGGAAAGGGAGTACCAAATGGCTCTATATTAAGCACGGTGGAGGGGGGAGTGGCGTAATAAAGATAGAAGGGAAAATAGAAGAACTTGAGTAAGAAAATCAGTGTAAGTGTAGGTGCTCTATGGATAGAGTCAGAAGAAAACCTTTCATGGTAAGCTGGCCAAAAAGATGTTTAAGTACTGGAATGCCCAACTTGGGGTAAGTGATTTGTCAGACATTGGACATGACATAGGATAGACTTCAGGAAAGGCTATCACACTCAGGAATGCTTCCTGAGAGGACTGTGAGCCTGCATGAGCAAGGAGGTTGAGCAATGATTTGTTCTATTTTAACTGAAAAAAGAGATGAGAGGCAGATGTAACTTTAAGAGCACAATCTCTCAGAATCTCGTAAACTTTGAACCTACAAGCATTTTTTTTTCCTTTTTTTTTTTTTTCTTTTTCATTTTTATCGGTACCGGGGCTCGAACTCACGACGGTCTACTTACAAGGCAGGTGCTTATGCCGCTGAGCTAAATCCCCAGCCCCTCTACAAGCATTTTTAAATGTGACAGTTTAGGTTCAAATGCATTGCATTTGGATATTAAAGAAGCATAAAGACCATATATGACATTTGAGTTTTATCATGTATGATATCAACAATGATCTCCCCTCTTTGCTAGCAGGCGACCTCCATAGAGAAAAGCAAACAAAATTATTTTGGACTGTCTTCACTTCTAGATCTAAATGTCCAAGACAAAAGGGGAAGAAAGACAAAATTCCACCTTTTTGTCTTGGAATAGATTGGTAAACGATTGTAATTGAAAGATACTAGTATCCTTAACATATTCTAGGAACATTCACATTTGTATCTTATTTAATCCTCAATATAATCATGTAAGATGTGGATTTTCACAGAACCCTTCTTTTTTTTTTTTTTTGTCTTTTTCCTTTTTATCGGTACCGGGGATCGAACTCACGACTGCCTGCTTGCAAGGCAGGCACTTATGCTGCTGAGCTAAATCCCCAGCCCCTACAGCACCCTTCTTATAGGCAAGAAAACAGAAGTCAGGAGCTTATATCATTTATCCAACACCATGCATTTGGTAAATGGAAGAAGCATCATGTATTAGCCATGTCTGATTCCAGGGCCAGTGTTCTTTCTGTTAGATCTCCATGTTTCAGTTACTTAATTAACATCATTGTGTTTAAGAGTACTACAAACAATGTTTCCTAAATTGCTTTCCTAATTGGTTAAGGATAGAGAAATATGCCTTCTCCCACTCTTAGTTTTTTTTTTTTTTTTTTTTTTTGATTTTGTGTTTTTGCAGTATTGGGGACTGAATTCACAATCTTCACACTGAGCCATAGCCCCAGTCCCTCTTATTTTTTACCCAGGCAAGACTCACACTCACAATCCTTCTGCCTCAGTCTCCAGAGTGCTAAGATTACAGCACCATGTCTGGTTTCTAGCTCTTAATTTTTCCATGAAATATAAAACTGATGCTTCATATCAAAAGAGAATCAATTGCTTAGAAAAAAAAAATAGTGGCATGAGTGGTTATCATTTGGAATGCCCAACTCTTCACAAACACCTTTACCCCAATATGAATTCTTTATGGCCAGCCTACCAATTTAGCGAAGTTAACAGGTCAGGCATTGTCATCCAGCTTCATCCAGCCTTATGCAATGGTAGAGCCCATACTAGAAGACCCTAGTCTGTGAAACAGCTCACGAACAGAGGGCTCATTGAAAAAAGTGGTGGAAGATGGGGCTGGAAAGAAAGGCAATAAGCAGATGATCTAGGGCCTTATCAATCATCTTTGGGCTTTGGGACTTTACCTTACAAACCAAAAGGTTTTAAGCAGTGGAATAACATGTTTACATATGCAGGTAGGAAATATTGCTCTAACTGTAATTGGAACACATAGAATTACATCGAAAGAGCTGGGAGCAGAGATAGGAGTTAGGGGAAATAGTTGAGAAATTCCTGTTATAATCCAGGTGAGAAATGAAGAGCACTTAAGCCAAATCATAGACATGGGGAAGATTGAAAATTTAGAGATTTGAAAGATATTTAGAAGGTAAAATTCCCTGAACTTGTTGACAGTCTCAATGTAACATATGAAGAAAAGAGCACTGGCTTAACCGACCAGGCTAGTAGTGAAGTCGTTTACTGATATAGAGGGCACAGAAGTTGCTTCAGTTATCTACTGTTGCTTAAGGAATCACTCCTCCTAAATTCACTGGCTTAAAACAGCAATAATTTATTATTTCTCACAATTCTTGGGTGGTTAAATAGCTCTTTTGCTAGTTTCACTTGCTCACTCATGAGCTGCAGTCAGTTGAAGCCAGCTGGATGGGAAGGAGGCCCCAAGATGTCTTCATTCCTGTATCTGCCAGTTAGTGCTGGCTATGGCCGGGAGCCACAGTCCTTTTCCTAGCTCCCTTTCATCCAACAGCAGTCTAGACCAATTTACATGATAGCCTGAAGGCAAGCAGCCCAAGACTAAAAAGATGATAAAGTCTATGAGGCAAATCCTCAAAAGTCACATAGTAATTCACCTATACTGCTTCTATTGACCAGATCAAATCCCAACCCAGCCCAGATTCAAGGGGATTCAGTAGAGAAGTAAACACCAGCTCTGATCAGGAAGAAGAGTAAAGTCTAAGCACAAAGAGGTATGGATACAGAAAAGAGAAGCAGTCCATGGCCTTTGGCCAGTCTGCCCCAGGAC